TAATTATGTATTTATGTATGTATGTTTGCCATTGTAAAACAAAGTGCCCTTCTGGGACAAATAAAAGTGTAATTTATTTTATTTTATTTTTTAAATCACACCAGTTTGAAGATAGTGCGTAGAGAGACTTTTCATGCATAATGCAAAAGAACAAATAAAATTCAATAGATTCAAAAAAAAGTCAAGAAACATCAATGGTGCCACCAAGAAAGCCTGCCAAGAAATATTTAACAAATTGCACAACACAATCCATGACAGCCATAAAAAAAGTAATCCTGTTTAAGCTAAACATTTCAAAAGTGTACAAGCACATTTTAAAAAAGATAGAAACAAAAACAAAGAACGAAAAAAAAAAATGAGAACAGACGGCTTATATCTACACTCAAAGAATGTTAAATCAGAGGAGCAATCAAGTTGTCACAAAAAGACTTTGCAAATCAGTCACTTATTTCAATCACAGACAAACAAATAAGAAACGGATGTTCCCATCACATGAGAGTTACCTAATAAGTCACAATTGATGACTTTTGCACCCAACTTCTCCAGCTCAGAGCACACATTCGACTTGCCACTTGCGATGCCACCTGTCACTGCTATTCTGTACGGACTCTTAGACAAGTTGGGTCGGCTCTATAACAAAAAGGAAAGAGTAGAACACCAATACATTTGTTTGAGTACAAATCTTTTCTGGGGGGTGGTTTTGGTGGGGTAAGTGTTTTACAGCACTCGCAACTGCAGAAAGTCATATAGCACTGACACATTAAACATTTTCAATTTGGTAGGAATTTAGAAATTTGCCAGGGTGACAGCCGAAGCCTACTCTTATCTATTTTAAAACCACCAAGGGATCTTTAACGTGCACAACTTGCACACAGTACCTCCAAGATATTTGGCCTGTATCCGAGAAGGCTAGGTGTAGATCTTTCTTACCATAAGATCAGGGATATGGGCTGAAATACAGTAGTAAGAAGGAGTCAAGGAATAGCAGCAGAAAGGCTACAAAAAGAGTCAGGAGCCCACAGGATGGGGCAAAGGGGAGGGGGGGAGGGGGAAGAAAGTGGAGACAAAAGCAGACGACAGAACATTATTAGAGAGCAGGAGAGGAGGTGAAAAGAGAAAATTTTAGACAAGAAAATTTTCCGTCGCAGTCTGGTTTCGAACTCGGGACCTATTGAATGAGAGGCGAACATTGTCACCTCTGGACCACGTGAGCCCCTCTTGTATAAGTTCAAAACCTTATTAAGTGTGATAGTTCTTTGAAAAGGCAAGCAGCTGGTTCAGTAATTAGAAATGAAGACAGAAGAAGAAAAAGTGAAAAAAGCAGAAACAAAATTACAGCTGTTCCTCTGATCATGAAAAACTAATACACATGAGAAAAAAATACTGCAGTTTCAAGAATCAAGTATTAAATTTTTAAAAGACAGAAATTACTACTCATATACATACCGGTAAAGGCTTTATCAGTGTTCCAAGAAGTCTTTTCCGTTTCGAAGACGAGCTAACTTTTTCTTCTTCATCATCTGCACGACACGCATCATCCACCAAATCAATGACTACCATTTCAAGCTCTTTGAAATTCTGAGGAGTTAATCAAAAGAGACATAAAATATAATGGGGATCATTCAGCGATTAAATCTTTTGATCCTATTGAAGTAAGTTATTTAACCCTTTGACTTCTAACCATATATATATGCACTCCACATGCTAAGGAAAATCTGACCGGGTGCAAGACGTCACAGGTCACACAGTCTTTAATCGACAGTTGTTCACTCATAAGAGACAGATCGGTAAAACTTATACCAATAGAAAGATAAATGGTGAGATAAATTCATCCATTGACTAGACCTGCATAGAACAAGTCATAACAATATAAAAAAAACTTGAAAGTACTAAGACTGAACAAGCACTCCAATTCTATGTGTTGGCTCTTTCTTGTACAATGCATGTGAGAAAAACAACACACCTCGCTTTGTTATACCTGTAACAAAGCCTGTGCTTCTCATCAAATTACAATTCAATAGAAAAAAAATGAAGAAATAGCTTTATACATAGACAAAACTTGGGTAGAACATGCCGTAATGATGTAAACAAGTGTAAAAAAATTGAGACAAGCGCTCCAAGTCGACGCGTCGGGTCGTGACCATCTTGCACGATGTGTGTTAGAAAAACAACACATCTCGCGTTGTTTTTGTGTTGTAGAACTGCGCATTCCGTCCAATAGTCAGATATGACCTCATAGCTAAAATGATAAGCTTTCAAAGGACGTCTCTCTCTTTATTCAAAACTTAGTAGGAGCTGAAATATCAACAAAACGGTATACGGATTTTAGCCGCTGTATGAGAGGCGATTACACAGTACTTGGCGGTGGCTTATCGGTCCGTATAAGATACGCTTACACAGCAGTGAGGGGGGTTCATTGCAAAGATCAATACTACTGCTGAATACAAAATATACCAAACAGAATCACCACAGGCATAAACTGTTACCTGTGGGGTTCAATGCAAACCTAGAATATATGAGAAACACACAGAGGTTGTAAGAGAACACTTTACAGTCGAGCACGCTCAAAGCAAAACTGGCAAGACGTGGAAACCTTTTCATTATGTAGGGCCTACAAATTTCACTATGTGCATGTTTTAATCACAAAGGACGTGTGAAAGGAAAAATTCAAGACCTGAAAATCTATTTGTTATGTTTGATTGCTACGTCATGTATATGCTGGACTGCAAAAGAAAAGGAGTAGCTAGTGATCCAGAAACACAACTAAAGTTATTACAGGTATAAAAGTAAAAGGCGAGGTTGCAAAATATCCTCACTTCAAATATCGCAAAACTGAAATGAACCCTCAACCAAAAGTAAAATGGCATCTGGGCTAAACTGACCAAAGAAAGGATATATATATATATTTATCATTTCTTTCTTTCATTTCCACATCAAAAGAGCACACTTGGAACTTTTTTTCTCTCCAGTATAAGATGACAGAAGAAAGACAACTTTTCTTAGGTTATATGAATTAACAAAAGAAGCAATACATAGACGCTACCCACCCTTTTCTTCCTCTCTTCATTCACCATGCCACCTCCGGCCTTTGTCTCTTCACTGACAACAATGCACTGAAAATCAGGGTCCGTAATGGTAGGCCCAAAGGGGTCAAAAATTTGCACAGGTTCCAGAGAAATGCTGGGCTTCACATCAGACACAAAGTTAGCCATAGCAGCTTTCCTGTCAGAGAATGGTTCCATCAGTTCCCACAGTGTCTTTTCTGTGGACAAAGTACAGGAAATGTGGAAATATTCCAAACAAAACTGACAGCGGAGTCTAAGAGTGATAGAATATGTGAGGCCTTGATAAACTAGATGAAAGACACACAATTGTGAACTAAGATACAACCTAAAATTAATAAAATATTGGCTTTTAATTGAATTTGAATACTTATATCACTTTCACATCATTCATCGATTTTTTCTGTCAGAAAATTGAACTAACAAGGCCTTTTCATGTAGTTAACAGTGTCTCTTTAGTTTTTTCTGAGATACTCCATTATATATATACATGGCCCGAACTGAGACAGAGAAGTATAACCAACAAATAACATAGCAGTTGATGAAAGCCAAATACTGCCAGTTGCTGTCAGATTTCTGCACAAATAACAAGTAAATAAATCAACAGCTTGGTGAACAAATGTCAGTGTAAATTAAAAATCCATTCTTCTGATAGGTGCATTTGACTCAACTCATAATGACAAAGAGCCAAAGACATGTACGGTGATTCTCCTTTTCCATTCAAATTAGGGATATTTCTTTCTTTTTTTTTTTTTCAGTTGAATCCGTCAAAGGTTTCTGAAATAGTAGGGCTAGCAGATCAAGTAAAAATATCTTATTTCAAATGGCTCCCAAGCTTCAACGCAAGCACATTACATCAAAAAATAAAAAAACATGACCTACATCTGGCAAAGTTGGTTACACATGGCTGCACCCTAAATATATATAGACAAGTTACGCAGCACTGACGTTGACACTATCCGCGCAACTGTTGACCTAGTAAGGCAGCATGACTTGAAAAGTTCTGACCATTGATGAAAGGAAAGGCCTACCAGGTCACTAAAAGTGCGGACAATGAAAGTCTACGACATTTTTACGAACCAGTCATGGATGACTGATTCTCTTGTGTGGGACTGTGATATATTTACAGATGACTGATTCTCTAGTGTGTGGGATATGTATATTTGACCTCTGCTTTTTTTTTTAGCTGTCACCCCCTTGCAAGAAGGTTTGCTTTTTTGTGAAGTGTAAAACAACATCTAACATTGTCAAAAGCCAAGAAGAGCCAAACAGAGTAAAACAAACAAAAAAGCGTGATAGTTGTTAATGAAATTTATGACGCACCTCCCCAGGCTGATGAATTTATATATACAACTATTTAGATAGAGACTTATGTCTAGAATGATGCACAGATCTAATTTGGGTGTGCAGAAGCACAAGCATGCTCCTTTAAATTTTTCACTATTTGGTCAACACACATTTCGAGGCACCAATACTTCTATGTTACTCAAAAAGGCGTGAGTGGGCAGTTGGCGGGTGCTCTTCTTTCCTATCAAACATCTATTTTTCTTATCTCCCCTCCTTCTTTTTTGTGTTTGTTACTCTCTTGTAACACATAATCTCTGGCACTCCTGACCTTATGTGTTGCATATGCTGTAAAACTATTACTAGAATCTACAAGAGAAGTAATGAATTTGGGGTCATACTAGAAATGCAGAAAAAGGTCAAGATAAAGTAAAAGTAATTGAAAAGGTAGCATGAAATAAGAATGAAATTCAATTAAAAACATAAATTCACACACTTTAAAATACCCAAAAAAAATCGTCTGCTCATCTATTTCCTCAAAACTGAGTTTAACTTAGTTTAAGTGAAGAAATGCTCACATCAACACAATGAACGTCATTCAGTGCAGAGAAAAAACAAGATACAGACAGAATAAAAAGATGGACAGAAAAATATTAGGGCCCCGGCTTACTAGTAGAACCTTCCAACCCCCTGCATCGCCATACCAAAGAACAGTGAAGAAATCCACAAAAACAATTAGATCTATTAAAAACAAACCAAAAAAAAGGATAAAACTTCAACTATCATTGATGCAATTCAAAAGGTGAAGAATTTCCCAAAACAAAGTAAAGCATAATAGAGACCATTAAAAGAAAAAACTTTTTTACATTGAGAATTTATCATCGCAAAAGAATTCCTTACTTTTGTTTCTCTCTCCATCTGTTATGCCAACAGTCAACTTGTTATCACATCGCATGCAGCACTCAGTCAGCAACGATTTGTGTCCATTGTGAAGACGGTCAAAAGTACCACCAACAACAACATTCGGAAAAGTTTTCAGGAGTTCAGAAGATTCAATACTGCTGCTGTGTGCCTCCTGTCCAACGTTTATGAAGTGAAACTTTGAATCAAAGCTGATGTTGGTAAAAGCATTTTGCAGGGCTTTGATAAACGCTACATTCTCCACTTGCCAAAGATCTTTGAGTTTAGTTGAATCTGTCATCCAGACAGTTATTTCTTTCTTGACAGAGTAAGGCTTGAAAATATCAATGCTAGGATCCTTACACAAGTGCGACAATAAAACCCGTATATCAAGAGTGTGGCAGACATTTGAACCAGACAAGTATAAACCAGAGATAAATTGCTTCACTTCTTGTGTTGATGACACAGGCTGAATGAAACTGCTGAGAGTTGGATTTTGAACGGCAGGTTGAAGACACACATACAATGTGTCGCTTACGACAACAGAAGCTTCTTCAATGACACGAGGAAGTAGAGACTTCAATTGAGACAAGGGTGACGTCAAAATAAGCAGACCTGCTTTTGCCATTTTGCTGTGTGTTTATCTGAGGAACAAACAAATAGATAGACATATGGCACTGAGTGAGAAATGCACATTCCCAATATTACAACAATGCAGCCCAAACTAGTCCATATCTAAACATCTATATTTTTCAAATACATGTGTGACGAATTTACCGTCGTCAGTAATTAAAAAATAAATAAATAGTGGCTCGTTGCACAGAATTAGATAGAGAAACAAAACAAAGATTCAAATAAACTAACACAACTCCAGGTGGATCCATCATGGATAATAAGTAGCCTAAATAATTCCCAAACAAATGACAGAGAAAAAAGTAAACACACCTTTGTTCACAACTCTGTTTGCGTAGAATGATTAAGTAAAATTTTTCCATCCCTCTTGCTCCCAGATACACAACTGTTGAAAGCCAAACCAACATATCTTTGGCTGCAAAACACACATCGGCCACAAAATTCGTTGCAAATTGTTGATTTTCAAAAAACCTCAGGAGGCTCTTGTGGTCTAGAGGCTAAGGTGTTTGCCTCTCATTCAATAGGTCCCCGGTTCGAATCCGGATAGCGGCGAAAAATTTTCTTCTTTTAATTTTCTCCTTTTACATCCTTTCCTGCTCTAACAATGTTCTGTCGTCTGTTATTAACCTATTCAACGCGACTTTCTGCCCCCAACACCTCACCTCCTTTGCCCCCTCCTCTGAAGTTCTGACTCTTTCTGCAGCCTTACTATTGCTACTCCTAGGCTCCTTCTTTAGTATGATCTCTAATACCTAGCCTTCTCGGAGAAGGGGGAAAAATCTTGGAGGTCCTGTGTGCAAGTTGCGCACGTTAGAGATCCCTTGGGGGTCCAAAATAGACAGGCCTCCTCGGCCACCACCTGCGTTAAATTCAAAATTTTCTACAACTGAAAATGTTAAATGTGTCCAGCGCGTTCATATGACCTTATAGTTGCAAGCGGGGTAAAACACTTAACAAAAAAACAACAACAAAAACCCTTAATCCTAGCATAACTGATAACACCAAATGTACAGCAAAATGTGGGTGGGGCGGGGCGGGGGGGTTTCTAGAGCAAGATGGTGATAGCTCTAGCTTTATTTTGTTATAGAAGGTCACGATCAACAAAGGCCTACTGTCAGATTCATTCAAATTGTGCCTCAAAGGTAACTTTTGCCTCTCCAAGGAAGAATTAACAAATAGCATATAAATTATATAGCTTGCCTAGAATCAATTCAAATGAATTTGACTAATAAAATTTCAGCAGTGTGTAGGTATTGGGTATTAGAAGCCATACATCATTATTTTTATACTCACTACAACACGACAACTGTCGGTTGACAATTAAATTTAGGCCGGCTCTATTAGATTTCTGCGGACACTCAGGAAAATAAACTTGAACTCTTTTTCTCCGAACGGTTTCCGTTTTCGAGATTTTTTGGTTATTTGCGAATGGAGTGGCGCGCGCAAGTGTGTGGAAGTGTGCGTGTGTGTTCGTGTGTTCATGTGTGTGTGTGTGTGCGTGAGTGTTTGTGTGTTTGTATGTGTGTGTATAGTATGTGAACGGGGGGCGTGGGGGCGTGGAGGGATTTTTTTGTGATTTAAATTTTGCTGCTTTTCTTCTTCTTCTATCCCGTGGTTGGGGCAACCGTTGGGGCACCACTGAATTGGAAAACCAGCTCTCGTCATCTATTTTTGTCCTCTGCTCTCCTCAGATTGTCACCCATCGTCTTTCCTGTCCACTCTGTAATGTTGTCCTCCCATCTTCTTCTCTGCCTTC